ATTACGTTAATATGTAAACTCATCACTTCAGAAAGAAAGTCACAAACAAGTAGTTCATTCATGACTCATTTTATTCATAACAATCTCAAACTTGTTACCCCAAAATTGGATTTTACAGCTACAGTTAAATGAAGTAAACACATTCACAACCAAATTCATTCAGTGGTGTAAAAAAAAAAAAAAAAAAAATCAATGTAAATAAAGAGTCCACTAAACACAGATTGTTAAATACTGAGGAAAATGCATCATTATTTTGAAGAGAACAAGCTTAAATGATGAGTAAACAGAACTCACACAGGCAATGACCCCTTGTTTTATGATTACATTCAATAACTGCGCATACACCAGAGTCTTAAAATGAAAACAGATAACATATAAAAGAGGAACGTTTCATCCTTAAAGGATCTTATCTTTATTGCAAAATGTCTGGATAATAAAAAGATAAAAGGTTATAGTGGGGTATGAGTAGTTTTTTTTCTGTCTAGGACCAATCTCCTTCCAAAATTGCGAACTCCTTTTTCCCTAAGGTTGGTTTATAATTAGAAATTAGATTCCTCAATAATTCAATGGCTGAAACCTTTATTAAAGTCAAATGACCTTTTTAATTAATTTTTTCCTAATATATAAGCTCTGCTAGGCAGGTGTCATCTCTACAGATAATAAAGCCTTTATATATTTATTAAATGAGATCTCCCTCTCTGTTCATCCTTTCCTTTGATTTGATATTCTAACAGCAATTAACTACTGGCACAACTTTAAAAAGTATAACAATACTAATGTATTCTGCTAAATGCTCTGATTTGTATACTTGTAATGTCCCTAATTTTTGTTCTATCATGAAAAATGTTTAAGCTAAAATATTTTACTCTCCCATATGTCTTTTTTGGAATTCTCATTTTAAAAGAATACAGCTAGTAAAGGGAAGTGTGTCAGGATTTGAAAACTGGAGAATGGAATTGAGATGCATGCATAAAACTGACATATTCAAAAGCTCTTGACGCAAACAGTGCATTTATAACACAGGCCCATCCCAGTAAATACGTGAGGGATGCATAAAAACATGGCCATTGCATTTGAATTACTTACAATTTTAATCTTTAAGTATTTGTTTAAAAATAAAAGTAGTTAAATGACAAGGCACCATGTTAGACATCCTGGAGCGTGAAAATTCAAAGTATACTGTCCTCAATCCTCACTGTCCCTATGGATACCACTATAAGTTTAGTGACAATAAATCAAACACAAAGTAAAACCCTTAAATGTATGGCTGTTGTATGTGTATGTTTGCAATCACACTCATCCTTCACTTCACCATTAGTCTGAGATGACGTATGCAAAATGTTTCACCATCACTTTTGCCATCACTCAAAGTGATAAAACCGAAGTGAAATGATTGAGATTTACTCAATTGTCAGCAATTTTACTTTTTTACTGGGGTCCTAAGCTTTCTAATTCACAGGAGGAAAAAAAGACGAGGACGAAGAGTATCATCAGAGCATCGTCTGAGAGAAAAGACTATGCACTTTACAGATACTAACAATTCCCAAAGGAGATGTAGGAATATCGAAATTTTACCTATCACCAAACACTAACCAAAAAAAAAAAAAAAAAAAAGGTGTGGGGCGGGGAGGAACAGGAACCTTCCGAATCTCAAAACACTCGCCAGCCCCATACAAAGAGTAAAGTACCAGCTCGGGATTGTCCCCACTCCGGCCCACCGTGTCGCCGCTGTCCATTTCTACCTGCTTTACTACAGGAAACAGATTTCAGCTTTCGTAACGCTTTAAAATGGGCTTTTCTTGGCAAATGTCTGCACTCCTCAGGCGAGGCCGTGAAGGTAACTTAATCCCCCACGCACTGCTCGCTGGAGGAAATGCTGATTCCCAATGCAAAAATTAATTCTCTAGCTTTTTCTGTGTTAAGAGAGCCACGAAGAAACCCGTAACTCTCATTTAGGCTCAGCATATTCTCTTGAAGACCCGCCGGACAGATGAGAGCTCAGGGAACGGAGGATGATGCTGGGGGGAGGGGGCACGCGGGGAGAGTGCGAGAAAGACGCTGGTCAATCCCGAGATGATGCAGGAATGACATGGCATCTGGGCAACACGAGTCCACGCTCACCCCCCTCCGAGAGTGTGCCTCGGTTTCTCTGACATAAGCCTGGCGCTGTGAATAGGTGCACACGCGAACACACCACCTTTTATTCTCCGACTCCTAGGGAGGAGAATGGTGGGGAAGCGTGGCTGGGTAAAGCTTCACCACAACAAACGGTTTCTTTCTCCTCGCACCCCGCCTCCCCTGCCAGGAGCAGGGGACGACTGTCTCGAACAGTAGACAGCTGAGCAGAGAAGCGGGGCGAGAAGGACAGCATCTCCCGGGGAGTGGGGGGGGGGGGGGCGCGGGGCGGGGGGGGGGGGATAAAACCCCGAAGCCTCCCGGAGATCCTCCCGGAGGCTGACAGGAAAAAGAGGGGGATGAGGGGCCGGGAAAACAGAGGAGACGCGGACTGGGAAGCTCCCGGGCGCGCTACGCATCCAGGCTGCCCGAGGCTTGGCGCGCCGGGCGGGGCGGGGGGGGGGGGGGGGGGGCCCCCCCCCCCCGGGCCCCCCCCCCCCCCCCCCCCCCCGGCGGGGCGGGGGGGGAGTCGATCCCGGGCGGACCCCCTCCCCTGACTCCCCGGCCGGAGGACGCAGAGGAAATGGCTTTGTATCGCAGGATGAAAGGCAGACAGGAGGGCCACCGGGCGCGGGGGGGACGGAGGATGCCCGCAGCCGGGACGACCCCGCCCGCCCCGCGGACGCCGCGGCTCTGCCCTCCATTCCTCCTCAGCCCCGGGCCGGCCCTCGGGCTCCCCGCCGCCGCCGGAGACGCTCCAACGGCCGCGAGCGGGGTCGCCAGCCCCGCCCCCCGCGCCCCGCGCGCGCTCACCTGCCCACGAAGTTCTCGAGCACCGAGCTCTTGCCGGCGCTCTGGCCGCCCACCACGGCGATCTGCGGCAGCTCCAGCAGGCAGCTCTGTCCCAGCGCCGAGAAGGCGTCCTGCAGACGGTTCACCAGCGGGATCAGCTCCTCCATCTCCCGGTTCCCCATCCTGCCAGCGCCGCCGGCCGCCCGTTGGTCCCTGCTCTCCTCTGCGACTTGGCGGGGGGAGCCGGGGGGCCGCGCCGCCCTAGCCGCCCCTGCCGCGCTGGGTTCTGTCAGCCGCTTCCAGCGCAGACGTCGGATCCCGCCGCCAGCCAGCCGCTCGGCTCCTGACAGCTAACGGCCCGCAGCGCGCCTGCGCGGGCGAGAGGGGGCGTGGCCTGTCTCCTCGGCCGCCCCCTCCGCGCCCCGCCTGGCTGTAATTTCGCCTGAGGGTTCCCGGCCGGACACCCCGGCCCTGCGCGCGCACGCACTGCCTCCCAGCTGCGGCCAGATGCCACGACCTCCGTCCTCTGCTACCAAGGCTCAGAGGCAAAGTTACAGCACTTGGCCAGGGAGTCAGCAGCAGCTACCAAGCCAAAGTCCAGTGGAAAGCCCTACCGATTACCACTCAGCCCTGTCACCAGCAGTAGTAGCAGCATCTCCGCCACCACCACCACTGCGCCGCCGCCACAGTCACTTCCCAAAAGCAGATCTCATATTCTCACGCCCTGCTCCAGAACCCAGCTCTTCTCAAGGGGGCCGGCCTGTGGAGTCTAAATTCTTCCATCTGACATCCATTTCAGGACCTGCGTAGTCTGACCCTACCTAATTATTCGACTCTAATGATTCCGTCTCCCAGCCCCGTCTAAACAAAGGTGGAGCCGGTCGTGCTTACCCCGTACCACTCCCCCTTTTCAATCTACCACACTCATTCTGTCCTTTGCGACTCTTCATGCCATTTCTCCTACCCATCTGTCTCCTCATAGGGTCTATATAAGCGTGTACTCTGCACATTTTCTGTTATATTTAGCAGACTGAGACGGGTCCTGTGCCGGCTGATGGAGACATGAAGATAAATGGTCGTGTTTTGCTCAGCCTCCTTAGAGGGTTCCTCTTTACAAATAGGTATTGATGCTTTCCAGGATTTAATCCATGGGCCTTGTCTCACATTTTAAGGGCTACCTGAGGACTTTCCAATGGCTTTAACTCCACAAAATGACTAGCGACTACAAGAATCTAAATTGCTAACCCACCTCTCTCTCCTTTACTGTTGACTACTCCCACTGGTCCTGGACCTCATTACCTGAATGTCCCGCAAGTATCTCTGACTTAATTATTCAAACCTGAGCTCATCTTTTCTAATTTCAGCATTTAATGCTATAAAGTTCCCTTGAAGCCTAGAAAGACTTGTATAAAAATGTCCAAATAACCAAAACACTAAGAACAGCCCAATCATCCATCAAAAGGTGAATGAATGAACAAGTATGATTTGGGCATACTTCTAAGCAAGAAAAAGGAGTGAATATTCAATACAGCAATAACATAGTTGAATCTCAGATATAGTATGTTGAATGAAAGCCACTAAAGAGTACATATTGTATGCTTCCATTTATGTGAAGTTCTGGAATAGGCAAAATTATCTGTGTTGATAGAAATCAGAGTAGTGGTTGCCTCTGAGGTGTAACGATTGACTGCAAGAGGCACCAGAGATCTTTGTAAGGTGATGGAAGTGTTCTGTGTCTTGATTTGGATGCGAGTATGTATTCGTAGACTCATTGAACTAAACATTTAACATCTGTACATTTCAGCATTGCCTGGGTGGCTCAGTCGGTTGGGCGTCCAACTTCAGCTCAGGTCATGACCTCCCAGTTTGTGAGTTGGAGCCCCACATTGGGCTGTGTCCCGGCAGCACAGAACCTGGAGCCAGCTTCAGATTCTGTGTTTCTGTCTCTCTCTCCTTCAAAAATAGATAAACACTGGGGCGCCTGGGTGGCTCAGTCGGTTGAGTGGCCGACTTCGGCTCAGGTCATGATCTCGCAGTTGACGAGTTTGAGCCCCGCGTCGGGCTCTGTGCTGACAGCTCAGAGACTTGAGCCTGCTTCCGATTCTTTGTCTGCCTCTCCCCTGCTCATGCTCTTTCTCTGTCTCAAAAATAAAGACAAACATTAAAAAAAATTTTGATAAATAAACATTAAACAATATTTTTAAAAAGATCTGTGCATTTCACTGTAAATTATACCTCAAATTTTCTGAAAAGCAAAAGAGAAAGACAAAAATGAATGTATCATCCCCTCCACTAAAGCGTATCCCTAGTAGGATGTCTGCCTAACATGCCTTCTTCAGGAATCACCTTTCCATCTACCACATGGCTGTAGCCAGAATACTTATGAAGACACAAGGGCATGAAGAGCAACTAACTGTGCCCTCCAATGTGCTCCCTATCTCAGCAAGAGGTCTGCCCAGTCCCAATCCAGAATCTGGAAATCATCCTCACTCCTTTTCACTCTCTCTCTCCTTCATCCCCTACATCAGGTTGAATCCCAAATTATGCCCATTGTACCTCCCTACAACCCATCTCATCCTCTTCATCTTTGCTGTCAGTGTCTCATTTATAACTATCATTTGTTAACCACTTTCTTCCATGCTTCCCATATATATATGTAACCTGAACAGATTTTCATTATTGCACTTGACACATTGCATTGAATCTGATTTATATGTCTCTCTCTTCCACTATAAAGTGATAGCAGAATAATGCCCCCCTACCAACTATGTCCACATTTAAATCCCCAGAAACTGTGAATATGTTACCTGACAGGACAAACAGAAATTTACAGATGTGATTAAACTAAGGGGACACCTGAATGGCTCAGTTGCTTAACCATTTGACCTCGGCTCAGGTTATGATCTCTCAGTTCATGACTTTGAGCCCTGCATAGGGCTCTCTACTGTCAGCACAGAGCCTACTTGGGACCCTCTGTTCCCCTTTCTCTCTGCCCCTCCCCTGCGCACATACTCTCTCTCTCCCTCCCCAAAATAAATAAACAGTAAAAGCAAATTAAAAAAAAAAAAAAAAGCTAAGATCTGTGTGATAGGGAGATTATGCTGGATTGTCTGGATAGACCCAGACTGATCACAGGGATCCTAAAGAACAGACAGCCTTACCTGGCTATGTCAGAGGGATATGTGACTACACAAGAGTCATCACAGAGCTGCAACTTTGCTGGCTTTGAGACGGAGAAAGGGAGACCACAAGCCAAGCAATGTTGTCTGCATCTAGAAGCTGGAAAAGTCAAGGAAACAGACTCTCCCTGGAGCCTCCAAAAGGAACACAGCTTTGCTGACACCTTCATTTTAGCTCACTGAGACCTGTGTCAGACTTCTCTAACCTACAGAACTGTAAGATAATAAATTTGTGTTGTTTTAAACCACTAAGTTTGTGGTAATTCATTAGAGTGGCCATGGAAAATGAACACAACTAACCATAAGTTCCTTGAGGGCAAGATCCTTCTCTGTGACTCTCAATGCCTAGCACTGTGCTTAGTACCTAAGGACACCATAGTCTCCAGGGAACAGGCATAAACAAATTATCACAACACAATGTAATAATTGTTCCGATGGTAGTATGGACTGAACTGTGTCTTTTCAAAATGCATATGTTGAAGCCCTAATCCTCAGTGAGGCTATATTTAGAATAAGGTTAAATAAGGTCATAAGGGTGGAGCACTGATCCAATAGAATATCCTTACAAAACTTGCTCTATCTCTGCCATATGGGGACACAGTGAGAAGCCAGCCATCTGCAAGCTAGAACAAGAGTCCTTACCAGGAATCAAATCAGTCAGCACCTGAATGTAGGACTTCCTAGCTTCCAGAATTTTAAGGAAATAAATTTCTGCTATTTAAGCCACCCAGTCTATAATATTTTGTTATGGCAGCCTGAGCAGACTCACAATACCACGTTTGTTTAAAGGAAAACAAGATGGGAATCTGGGAGTAACCATTCTGTCTGGGGAGGCCTTGATGAGTATATCCTACACTCTGCTATGTGCTGTGAGGAATATAAAAAACTCAGAAGCACTAGCCCTTGCCCTGAGTATCTTGCACTCTAATGTAAAAGGCAATGCTACCATGCCTTAGAGAATGTGTAATCATTATATAAATTTGAATTTCAAGTGCACTGAAGCAATGCATGTCATCTGTGTTTTCCAGAACTTAGGTCAAATCAGTCCCACCCACCTACGTCAAGAAACCAACCTGAACTACTTTTGCTAATTGCTTTCTTTCTTACTTCCCATTTCCAGAATCAATTCTGCAATAACATGCAACCTGAGAAATTTAATACTCACACTCAACACCCTTTTTGCATAAATTAATCTGGATAAAACAAATAGCAAGGAAAACTCCAAGGGGAAAATCTGAAAGGAACTCTTGACAAGAAGACAACCTACACCTTTGAGGGTGGGTGTAAAGCTGAAAAGGGGAGCCCGGTCAGCCGCCCCTGCTTCCTGACTGCATCATATGATCACCTCAGCCCTGCTTCAGCACCAAGTGATGAATGCCAATTCCTGCTCCTTAACACATTTGTTTCCACATCACCTTCTGAAAATGCAGAAGATTCCTAAAGGTTAACAGTCATTTTCAGGTGTGGCTCTCTAGCTAGGAAGTTAGAACTTTTTATGAACACATCAGAACTCTTATTGAAAAGAGGATTTTCCTTCAGAGTCATTGTGAGAAGCACCAATGCAATTGCAATTGCAATTCTACTGCATTTCACACAGTATCAGTGGAACCCCTCCTTTGAAATTAATAAACCTTCTCCAAAAACTCAGACTCTGTTCCACAGTCACACATCATTTCAGGTGAACAAAATATTATCCGTGTTGACTTCCTACCACATTCATAGGACTTGGTACCAAATAACTTCTGGCTAATTCTAAGAATTAAACATATATACTTAGATGTATCTTGCTGATCAAAAAGGATTTAAATAATATAACAGAAAGTGAATTTAGAATAATAGTCATAAAATTAATCGCTGGGCTTGAAAACAGTATAGCTGACAGCAGAGAATCTCTTGCTACAGAGATCAAGGGACTAAGGAACAGTCACGAGGAGCTGAAAAACGCTTTAAACGAAATGCATAACAAAATGGAAACCACCACGGCTCGGATTGAAGAGGCAGAGGAGAGAATAGGTGAACTAGAAGATAAAGTTATGGAAAAAGAGGAAGCTGAGAAAAAGAGAGATAAAAAAATCCAGGAGTATGAGGGGAAAATTAGAGAACTAAGTGATACACTTAAAAGAAATAATATACGCATAATTGGTATCCCAGAGGAGGAAGAGAGAGGGAAAGGTGCTGAAGGGGTACTTGAAGAAATCATAGCTGAGAACTTCCCTGAACTGGGGAAGGAAAAAGGCATTGAAATCCAAGAGGCACAGAGAACTCCCTTCAGACGTAACTTGAATCGATCTTCTGCACAACATATCATAGTGAAACTGGCAAAATACAAGGATAAATAGATGTATCTTAAGTATGCATATATTTTTCAAATATCCTACAGGCTGAAAGCAAGCTCTAAGGAGGTAGGAAATTTTTGAGCAGAGAAAACATCTTTGAAAAACACTTAACCTCTGAAAGAAGAGCACATACTTGAAGATATGATTTAGGAATTCATAGTTTTTAAAAATCAGTCACATTACTGCAGAGCCACATCTCCCACAGTGCCTCACTCAGTAATCAGTAAATATTTATGAAGCAGATCTGAACCAAAACTGTAAGCATTTGTCATGTCAAAGTACCTGTTGGTACTTTGTGAGTACCAATAGTAAATGATAATGTTACTCTGTGTACAATTTAGGACCTATTCAAGCCTTACAGTTCATTCCCCAAAGGTTATCCCTTGGATGGATTTTAGATCTTACTGCAAATCAGTTTGTCTGCAGGCATCTTTTAAGTTCTGTTAAACCCAGTGAACATCCAACATAGACACACAGACTTTCAATACTGTAGCCATCCTGGTTGACACTTAGGTCTCCCAGAGCTTCTCTCCTTCAGCTGAGAGCAGGGGTCAGAAAGTAAAGACTCTCAATTTTGTTGCCCATATTTTTCCTTCGCTGTCATCAAGAAGCAAAATAACTCTGGAAGAACTACTCCAGTCTCCTACCCTTATCACTTCTGTCAATTTGAGATCTGACAGATGGAGTGTCACCAGTAGTCTCATGGAAGCGTGGCTGAATCTCCACACCTGCAGGGCAGAAAATACCAACAGGCAAGATTAAGGTGTTAAAACAGAAGGGTTAGGAAGAAGTCTCTGTATCACTTCTATTTGACTTAGCAGCTTGTGCCTCCTTCTATCAAGTAGGTATAGCCGTTTTTCTGCTGTAAGCAAAATCCATACATACTGAAGCGGAACAGAAAGCACATAAGATTCCTTTTAAAAGGAGGGCCCCTAGTGCTTTTTAATTCTCATGTATTGAATTATGAATCTTGTACATATAGAGATATATAGGGATAATTGCATATTAATTGCATATTACATGTAATTCTACAGTATCATTAATAACATACTAATATTTTTATATATAGGTAAGCTACAATGGCCATTTAAATATGTTTATGAAGATTTTTCACTGACAGGAAATGATATGACTAAAATATTAAATGAAAAATGCAGGTTATGAAATTTTACATATGGATTATCATATCTGCATAACAGACTGTCTGGGGAAAAAAAACTAGAAAGAACTGTGCCCCAAAATTTAATGATATTCTCAATGAGAAAGTATCGAAAATCTTTATTGCCCTTTTCCATTTTTTCCCTCAAAGTTTCTACAATGAATGTGTATTACTCTTACAATTTAAAAATTGAATAAAAATGCTGTTTGGCTGACCCATAATTGGTTTACACACACACCAGCTTGTCAGCCACAAAAGTGTTGTGTAATATAAGGTTAAAATAACACTGCAAATAGGAGCAGGAGAGGCCACGAGCTCCTTGACCCCCAAGCCTTTGCCACTCAATGGCAGCTGGTAAGTGGCAAGTGATAACTAAGATTTTAAAGTGGGAAACATTTCTTTCTGGCTCAAGGAGCAGAAGTGTTACAAGCCCTGGCCACTACGGTCACAGGAAATATTACTAGCCAAGCACCCCAAACTGCACACCATCCACAGCTATAGAAAGGAGGTATATGAGCTGAATTTTGTGTGCTTAAAGCATATGCCATAATCTATGGCATCAATAATCCAGACATAAAAGACTGCATCCTGTATGAATACATTTATATGACATCTAGAGAAACCAGAACTAATGGATGATGACAGAAAGCAGTCTGGGGCTGAGAGTGGGGACAGGGGATTGACTGCAAGGGGCATGTGGAATCTCTATCTTGATTGTGCTGGTGGCTATGTGGTTGAATATGTTTGCCAAAACTCATTGAACCATAAACTTAAAATGGTGCATTTTGTTTTGCATAAATTATACTGTAATAAAAACAACCTATGGCATTTGTGACACACACCTATATGACATGTAATGGTAATACAGACTATGATCATCTCAGTCTGGGGATAACCTTAGTAATGTGCAGCCATAATCATGCTGGGTTTTGAAAGGACAAAATTAAATATACATACCCCCAAGAAGCTTGCAATGACTCCAAAATTCTGCCAATATAGAGCCATTCTTTCGGGATCTCTGAGTATTATGTTGCTGGGGGGAAAATCACTTAGAGAAGGGAAAGAAACAACATAAGCTATTAAAAACTATCTCTTGGAGAAGATTACATTCCAGCAGCGTCAGCTCAGGAAGGGGGGTCTAGGACAAGAGTGGAAAGGGTGTCATAAAGACACCAGAGTGAGAGTGTCCTAAGCAACTTTCCCCATTTCACATGGTCTCCTCTCTTTAATTTTACAGGAAAAATGTAAACCTTGGAAAAGTCCAAGCCCTGAGCATACCGGTGAGGTCCAATTGAACCCCAACTCCCTCCCTCCTGGATCTTTTGCCAAAGACTGTGGTAACAAACAACATTGACAGCTTTTGATACTGCTTTATACCCACAAAACATTTTTATGTCACAGCTACTTTTGGAGTAACAACTAACAGATGGCAATACAATTCCCACCTCATAGTTAAGAAAATTGAGAGAAATCGAAGAGGTTAGGTGACTCGGCCAATGTCACGCAGCTAGAACTACTAAAGATGCTGCCTGCTATGCTACAGCATACCATACTTGGATCATCCCCTTAAAGAAACCTTGAACCTTGCGATATATAGTACTTACATTTGCCAAACCTATATTGAGACTGAAAAGTGTTATCACTTCTTGGCCTTTTGGCTAAGATCAAGTGGAGACTTAAAAGTTCACGGCGAATTCCTGTTTGTGAACAAAACCACGTTTTATCTTCATACAAATTATTTCAGTTGTCATAACCTAGAGTCAGAAGATTGAGATTAAAGATCCTATTGGCTCTGTGATTCACCCTCCTAGCCCTTAATTTCGTCTGTAAAATGGGTATATTAATGTCTGTTCTTCCTAATTCATAGAACTATTGTGAAATCAAATAAATAATAAACACTAAAATATTCTAGAAACTGCATGGTATCAAATGGCTATTAAGTGCTTTACTTATAATTATCCAAATCTACCCATGGATTGTAAATATATTTTATTAATTACCAAAAGGGTGTCTTGATTAACTATAATTTTTACATGATTTATGTGATAAATATCTATGTGATAAAAACATCTTCACATATCTTACTATTCATGTATCTCATCAATTTTAGGATTCCTTAATCTGGTAAATTAGGATTGTGGAAGAGTTCACTCTTAAGAAGAGCCCAGAAATAACCAAACAGAAAGTGTAATTGAAAGTAACAGTTCAAATTAAAAGCAAAAATGAAATATTGGGACCTCATGAAGATAAAAAGCTTCTGCACTACAAAGGAAACAATCAACAAAACTAAAGGCAACTGACAGAATGGGAAAAGATATTTGCAAATGACATATCAGATAAAGGGCTAGTATCCAAAATCTATAAAGAACTCACCAAACTCCACACCCGAAAAACAAATAATCCAGTGAAGAAATGGGCAGAAGACATGAATAGACACTTCTCTAAAGACATCCAGATGGCCAACAGGCACATGAAAAGATGCTCAGTGTCACTCCTCATCAGGGAAATACAAATCAAAACCACACTCAGATACCACCTCATGCAGGTCAGAATGGCTAAAATGAACAAATCAGGAGACTATAGATGCTGGAGAGGATGTGGAGAAATGGGAACCCTCTTGCACTGTTGGTGGGAATGCAAACTGGTGCAGCCGCTCTAGAAAACAGTGTGGAGGTTCCTCAAAAAATTAAAAATAGATCTACCCTATGACCTAGCAATAGCACTGCTAGGAATTTACCCAAGGGATAAAGGAGTGCTGATGCTTAGGGGCATTTGTACCCCAATGTTTATAGCAGCACTCTCAACAATAGCCAAATTATGGAAAGAGCCTAAATGTCCATCAACTGACAAATGGATAAAGAAGTTGTGGTTTATATATACATGGAATACTACTTGGCAATGAGAAAGAATGAAACCTGGCCATTTGTAGCAACATGGATGGAACTGGAGGGTACTATGCTAAGTGAAATAAGTCAGGCAGAGAAAGACAGTTACCATATGTTTTCACTCATATGTGGATCCTGAGAAACTTAACAGAGAACCATGGGGGAGGGGAAGAGGGGAAAAAGTTACAAAGAGGGAGGGAGGTAAACCATAAGAGACTTAAATACTGAGAACAAACTGAGGGTTGATGGGGGTGGGAGAGAGGGCAAAGTGGGTGATGGGCATTGAGGAGGGCACCTGTTGCGATGAGCACTGAGTGTTGTATGGAAACCAATCTGACAATAAATTATATTTAATAATTAAAAAAAAGTAACGGTTCACTAGGAATCAAGCATGACAAAGTAATGGAGAGCAAAATAAGTTTTCACAAATAAGCACAAGTCAGAAAATCCAGAAAGCAATGAGTTAAGAGGAGGCAAAAATGGGCTGAGATGGAATTTGATGGAGAAATTACACTTAAGCTTAGCCCCTTTACAAGTTTTGTTGTGCTCCATGTACAGTTTGAAAAGAACTTAGAATAGAATAAAGGTAGCCAATGACACAAGTATAATTTCCAGGTTCTCCGGAAAAATTATGCAAAGGAATGCAGTATCTCTGGAGCCAAGGATCTCCAAAAATGTCCACTCCCTGCAGAGTCCTCTTTAGACTTTCCTTAGTGACTGTTCAGGCAAAACTCACTCCTACCCTCTTCCCCTCAGCCTGCTGACCCTCCTCCTGGCTATCATCCTCATTTGCCTCAAAAACTTTTTGTAGATCTAAGAGCTTGTCCTTTAGCAAGACTGCCAAAAAGCAACTCATTCTGAAAAGTCAATACCCCAGGGTCTCATAGAAAAAAGGCCAAAACTGAAGACCTTTAATTTTACCACTGCATCACTATTCCATCGACCTGTCACTCTGATAAAATGGTTCCAGTGCTTCCCTACATGATCTTCCAAATGTTCTCCTTGTAGAGTAGTTTGAGGAAGTTGTTTTCTTTTCTGTTTTTCTTCCATCCCCACATAAATTATTTCAGGAATGTAAATGCTGGCAGACATGCGCTGAGAGAATAGAAAGAGAAAATTCACATAAAAGGTGATAGGCGGGTTCAACCCCAACTCCCTTTTATGCAATTTATTTTTTTATTGATGAAAATTGCCAAATGCCTTATGGCTAAAGAACTATGTTCTGAAAAATACAAGTTCAGCTGTGAAGACTGAGCTGTAACTCCAGTGTTGAATGCCTCTGAATCCATTAGGGCATGCTCTACTTATATCCTGCTGCAGAACAGGAATTTTTCACACACACACACACACACACACACACACACACACACACACACACTCCCCTTCAGGCCACTGATTTCTGCAAAACAACAGCTCCACCAAGAAGGCCGTGATAACAGCAAAAAAACAATTATGTTTTCTATGAATCAATGTGCACATGTGTCAGATGAGCCATTTATCATCTATCCTAACAAAAATGAATTTTCTTGTTTTCTTCTTTCTTCTTTTTAAAAGCAGTTTTTGGCAGTGGCTGGTTTGAGAAGGATCTGGTTGAAATGATGGTGTTGACTCTCCATTCACTGACACAAACCCCTCACAATCCAAAGGGGCTAGATACTGCAGTGAGACAGAAGTTTGCCATTGCCAGGTCTATTATGCAATTGAGATGGACTCTTCAGTGATTTTTCTGTCCTATCCAGATGTCTCAATACAAACAGAATGAGAAAATCAGAGAAGTCTCTGTTAGGGCAATCAGTTAGAGTTGACTGACAGTTATGTCTAATCTTGCAATATTGGCTGAGGGCTCCTTTATTACCTGCTTCTCCTCTCTGTTCCAGGAGCTAGATCCATTTTAGACAGCTGAGAACTGGGACACACTACTTGCTGCAGGCAGAGCCCCAATATGTGGAAAAGTCAGTCCGAGGCAGGCAGAGGAAAGGACTAATACCATTGCTAATAGTGTGTGCCTCACACATGGGGCTTTCATTATTTTCATAGGCTATGTATCTCTTCTGTCTCCATTCCCCCAATCCTGAAACACCTCCACTGTGCTCTCTGCACCCCATGATCTACTACCAATAGAATCTCTTGTATTCTCAACTTTTTTTCCAAAGTTACTGTACAGAAACCTGGTTCTTCCCGGAGGAGCCTTTTTCTACTGGAGTAGTCTCAAACAGTAGCTGTCATCTCTCTCATGCCTCCTGAATCCAGGATAAAAGTAGACTAGGTTTCCTCAGTGCTCCTCATTGCTGCTTCTAAGCCATTATCTCTAAAATTTTCCAGCTTTAAATCTATATCATTAGTCTCTTATCACCCCTGCCTCTCCTTGCTGTAAACATCTACCAGTCTCTTTTTCATTCTCAAGTTTCAAAGACTCTAGTTTGTGACTCACTCTAACAACACGCTTGTCTTAATTCTTAGTGATTTCAATTCCATGTGGATGATACTTTCAACACTGCCCTCTTTGTCCTTCTAACCTTTCCAGTGATTTTGTCCTCCACCCTATCTCTCTCTGCCTGTCTCCCCAGGGTCAATCCTCAGTCCCTGTCATTATTATCACAATATACAACCATCCATGATCTCAAATCCAAACATCCCACACTCTGTCCTCCATCTACTCTCTTTCAAGATCACTCTCTATAGAAGCCACCTGCAATAATCCATCAATCCCACTAGGACCTACAATGAATTAATTCCATCATCTGTTTACTGTCTCTCTCCCTCCATGTCCTCACTTCCCTCACCTTATTTAAATGCCATGATCTATCATTATAAACATACCCTCCACCTCCTGCTTCTCTCTCAATTTATCATATTTAGCAAAACCCAGCCTTGGAAAAATCCAATTCTCCTCCTACTCTGTGCCTGCACCCAAGAAGCTGAACATAACCAGGAAAACAAAAAACAAAAACCACTATCGGGCTGACAGGAACCATGTATTTTTAAAAATGTTTGTTTGAGGGGTGCCTGGGTGGCTCAGTCAGTTAAGTGTCCGACTTCAGCTCAGGTCACGATCTTGCGGTCTGTGAGTTCGAGCCCTGCGTCGGGCTCTGGGCTGATGCTGAGAGCTTGGAGCCTGCTTCCGATTCTGTCTCCCTCTCTCTCTGCCCCTCCCCCCATTCATGCTCTGTCTCTGTCTCAAAAATAAATAAACGTTAAAAAATTTTTTAAATGTTTGTTTATTTAGAGAGCAAGAGAGAGAGAGTGGGGTAGGGGCAGAGAGAGAGAGGGAGGGAGAGAGAGAATCCCAAGTAGGTTCTGCGCAGTCAGCATGGAGCCCAACTTGGGGTTTGACCTCATGAACCATAAGATCATGACCTGATCCAAAATCAAGAGTCAGATGCTTAACTGACTGAGCCACCCAGGCACCCACTGACAGAAACCATTTCAAGTTAACAATACTGGACCTCAAATAGACCCGGTAATACTACTGCTTTTCATAGTCCATTCAATCTTGCATTCTTCTAGATGATGACTTCAGACCTCCGTGTCTCTTCCCTCATCCTCATTCTCAAATGGTGAATTGTATTCTATTTCATTAAGAAAATAGAAATAATCAGAAAAGAAATTCCCTTAGCTCCTATCATCTCAAATACCAGCCTACAGCTTCTAGATCATATACTCTGCCTTCCCTGGTGTTTCTGTAAATGGACCATCTAAACTTCTAAGACAGGATCTCCACATAGGCACTGGATTCTACTCTCTTCTTTATTTGATTACAGCAATTCTCTCTTAACAGTATCATTAATTTTTACCTCTCAGTTGAACCATCCCATCAACATATAAACATGCTATCTTCCTTCTAGCACTTGATCTATTATTTTTTTTCTTACCTATCTCAGTTAGTGGAAAGTCCATTCTTCCAATTGGTCAAGCCAAAACACACGGTCATTCTCAACTTCTCTCTTTCTCTCACACCATACATTCAGTCCATCAAGAAATCCTACTAGCTCTACTATCTTCAAAATGTCTCTAGAATCAGACTGCTTCTGACCATCTCTGCTATTATACCCGTCTGAGCCAGCACCTAGATTATTACACCACCCAGCACCTAGATTATTACAATGGCTTCCAATGTGGCCTCCCTACTTCCATCCTTACACTCCTGTTAACTATTCCCAATACAGCAACCAAAGTAATCCTTTTAAACATAAGTCCCATCATGTCACCCCTTTGCTAAATAAACAAATAAATAAATACATAAATAAATCCACCCACCAGTTTCCAATCTTACTCAGACTAAAAGACTTATGAGGCCCCTGATTACTGATCCTCTCTGCCAGCTCCCCATCCTGCTCTTCCTTTGCCTTTCTCTCCAGCTCTCTACTTCATGCACTTTGCTACAGCTGCAGACTTCTTTGTTGTTTCTTGAAAATAATCAACAGGTTCCTTTATGGGTGCCTTTTCACTTGTTCTTCCCTCTGCTTGAAACACTCATCCTTCAGATGGTCACGAGGCTGAGCATCCTTCAGATGCTCACCTTCTTTAAAAGTCTGTGCTCAAATGTGACTTTCTCAGGGACTCTTGGCCTGACTATTCTACTTAAAACTGCACTCCTACAGGGTACCTGGCTGGCTCAGTCAGTAGAGCACTTGACTCTTGCTCATGGGGTCATGAGTCCTAGTCCCCTGTTGGGCATAGAGCTTACATAAAAGCAAAATTGCACCCCCTCATACACAATTTCTGTTTTCCTCCCCTCTCTTAGTTTTCTCCATAGCACTTATCTTCTAATAACCTATATAATTAAAATTTTAATTTGTTTGCTATCTGTTCCATACATGCATGCACACACGCCTGAAAGTAAGCTCCATGAAGAAAGGAATTTGTCTGTTTTGTTCATAGTTACAAACCCAGTGCCCAGTAGAGTACCTGGTGCATTAGTACATGCTTAAATATTTGCTGAATAGATGATTCTAGCAACATAATTAGGGGTTTTATGATTTTGAGCCTATCCATGTGAGCAAGTCTAGAAGTACTGTAAGCTTCTTAATGCTCAGCATCACTCTATCTACTTTCCTGACTTCTCTCCACAGCACAAATCATGGCTTCCACAAGATGGGTTTCCACATTAAATCACTACTGAATTGAACTGCACTGTAATATTACCCCATTCAGCTACATCCTTCCCAAATTCCTGACTTTTGGAACCTCAGAGAGATAATAAGAGTATTGGTGTTATATTAAACTACTAAGTTTCAGAGTCACTTATACAAAGCAAAAGCCTATTGGGGCACTTGTACAGTATTGCTCTTGAAATTTATAAATAATTCCCACCTTATTAAGTTAGCTGTCTCATGCTAAGTTTTCTCCCTATCTAGTAATTTAGTTACCAATAAAAATGACTTAACCAACCGACATAGTTATTGGTTAAGTAAACTACTTACATAACAAATATAATAGATCACAAAATGCATAATAGCTCAAACACAGTAAAAATTTTTTTTGCTTGTAGAGTACAGAAAAGTAAACAAATTAGTAGGGGTAGTCTTTCACCAGGCAGTCAGTCTAACAGAACTTCTTCGAACTTCAACATGCAGCTTCCACAGTTACCCTAGAAGTTGTCTCCATTCTAGCCAACCACAAAAGGAAAAGAACATACAGGAGCATACAAGAGAGGTTTTTATGGGCCAGTCCTAACAATGATACATCACTTCCACAAATATTCCACTGGTAGAACTCAGTCACACAGTTACATCCAACTGCAAGGAACACTAGGAAGTATAATCTAGCTAAGTGCCCAGGAAGTAGAGTTGCCAGATTTAGGGAAAACAAAAACAAAAACAAAACAGGTCACCCTATATTTACCTGCAATCCTACCAGGAATAAGAAGAGAACATTTCTGTTGAAAAGATAATATCCAAATAAGAAAGAATATATTCATTATATATTCTTAATATGTCCCAGTAGTATGATAACATCTATCTCAGAGTACTCAAGACCAGTTTCCAACAACTCAAGATCAGTGTGATTGTAGATCACAGATGAGGACCTTGTAACTCATCCATCTAAAGTAGATTCATCCAATGACTATTTACTGACCTAATTTATTTCTCTGGCAAAATGACCTTATATGTTGCTAACAGGAGATGGAAGACGGCAGAGAAGAGACAATAGATTTTAGCAGCCTTTTCATGACCTCCCGCCTGAATACCATCAACTCTCCTTAGCTATCTTCTCTCCCTACTAAGATAATCATTTTGACATACCTTTACCCCCAGGAAA